AAGGGTTTTTAAAGATGTAATTTTACAAAGGTGTAAAGTATTCAACAGTATTGCGTTGCTCGAATTTGTTGTTAAAATATTAGAATCGTACCATATAAGAAAAATGTTGAATTACGCAAACAACAGGGGAACTCGGCACGATATTTTGTACGACAAATGTAAAGGTGCCGCAAGTAAGCTGCAAGTGCAAAGCATAGATGAAGAGACATAAAGAGACACTTCATCAACTGATTCGCAGGTACTTTACACGGTTAACGTTAAAGATGGTTTCACATGTTGCGATTGCTTCAGTGGATCTGGCGGCGCCTATTGCAAACATATATGTGCCGTAGAACAGAATGCTGGAATACTGACAGAATCGGCTCCAGTATTAACACCTGAAGACAAAATTACTTTGGCTTATATTGCTCTTGGTACAAATACACCAAAAAGAAGTTTTTTTTTACATGTATGTGGCAAAACGCAGACAGTCAGATGTTGAGTGCGTTGCAGGTCCTGTCGATACTCCTAGTGTCAACATGGATATAAGTATAAAAGTAAATAATAACGCCGACGATAGCGAAACCGTGTGTTTCACGCCTATCACAAATTCCTCAAAATCGCAGTTTAATCGAATACTAGGCCTAACAGAGCCTTTATATACCCTACTATCAACAGTGACAACCAAAACATTGTGGTTAAATTTGTAAAATCTTTGGAACGTATTAAAACTGTATCTCAATTAACAAATTTTTACGCTCTAAAAACGAAGACAACACGACGTATACGAGTACAGTCTACATCTATCAGTCGCCGAAAAATACATAATAGACTGAGTCAGACCGACCGTCCAACAAAGAATCTAGTCAAAAAAAGAAACGAACCAGTGTCAAGCGGCAACATGATCTAATTGGAAATATTAAAAGGAATGTACCAAACGCTAAAATACATTGATTAATAATGTTCACTTTGTATGGCTTTTTTTATAATTTACATAAATAAACGATGATTTTATCCAATTAACTGTATTTACATTTCAAAAACTTTATCTGAAACATAATAATATGATTATACTTGTATATCTACTATAGTACACGTGCGCTGGGGCGCAGTATATTTAGCGAGGTGTGCTGACGCGGAGTACATTTTAGATGTTTGAAGGTGACGTATTGCGGTAGGCTGATTGATTGGCGTATTGATTTGTGCTAGCGTTAAGTATATTTAGTAAAATTGCTACCGAGGAGTGAGCCAGGGGGAAGGCCACACGGCGCCAAAGAAGAATAGGCGCCGAAGGCCCCGTTTTGTTTCTGCTTCTTTTTTTCGATATTATGCTTTTGCTAATTAGCGCTAGTTACTTAGCAATTAGCTTAACTGATTTTTAAAATCTCGTCTACTCCTAAATTATAATACAATCCTCAGATGATCAAGAATTACTAAAAAAATTCACAGTCCTTTACAAAGATGCAAATCGGGGGCATTGAAAATGATGAATAAAAAACGTAAAAATATGATTAGTGTTGGCTATATAGTGTATTAAATACATATGTTTAAATAACGAACTTAACAAAAAACAACAGATTTAAAGATTCACTGAAAGAGTAGTAGTGTTAACATTAAATAAAAACATTATCAATAATAATTATGCGATCGCACCTATCCGTAAAACAAGCAAGCAAAAAACCTCTGAAAAAACAAAATAACATACAAAACATCAGGTTAAAGCATGATGACAGATCATGATCAATGACAGATAAATAATTCTTACGGGAAAGTTACATTTTAAAGTTACATAATTTTATAATATTTTAACTGTTAAAGGCAAACCCTATTTAAACACAAAACTTTTTTGAATACCTACTACTGTATCTAAAAGACTTTTTTTAAATTACTAAAATTCTAGCTACGCTTCTTTTTTCTTGGCTGTTGTGCGTCACGTCACAGATTAACAGGCTCACGTTTGCACCACATAATCTGCAGACCACTAGGTAGACCGGTCGTAGAAATGTATGTTATACAACTTGTAGTCAATCTACACAAATATTATCAAAAACTTTTTTTCTTTTAAAATTGTGGTTCAGATTTTAGTAAAAGTGAAGGGGTCAGGTAAAATGGCAAAACTTAAATTTGATATGAGTTTTTAGTTTTTAACTAATATAGTGGCGAATTACAAAATTCTTTTCAATGAAAATTAATGAGTTAAATAAAATAATTTAATAAATTACTAGCTTTTTTCACGACTACGTTCGCGTTACACCTCGAATCGTTCATGCATTGATTTAAATGATTTTTACTTCTTTATAGAGAGCTAGTGAGCATAGATGTTTTTATTTTTCATCTTTTTTTTATTTATTAAGACTAATACTAATACTTTTATAGGTTATTTTTTATTCTTTGAAGGATAATTGAGTGAAGATATATTTCGTTATGATGTCACTAAATAAACCCTTCTATAAAATTTATACAGTAATACCCCGGACTTACGCGATAGGTGGGACTGAGCGCTATCCGCGTAAGTCGAATTCGCGTAAGTCGGGGTACAATTTTGCATATAAAGACATACAAAGTATGTTTAATTGGGACTGGAGACTAAATAAAACAATAATTTAGGAAATAATTAGTATCTAATTCTAAATAATATGACAATACAATATACAAACTATATTAATAGAGTGTATAAACACAATCCGAAGTTATTTTGATGTAGAAGGTTTCATAAATTGTAACAAAGTCGTCTGACGAGTCAATGATTTTTTCTTCTCCCGTAATATCTCCTCGTAGCATCCTAGTAATTTTTTTATTCCATGTTTTGTAACAAAACTGCGCTCTTCATTGGAGTCTATGCTTTCCAAAATTGTTAACCCTTTTTCAATCGAACTGAGGGCTTCTGTCAAGTTTCCAACTGTCATTTGATCTTCTAATTGAACTGGATCCAAAGAATCATGATTATCAATTTCTTCCTCTTGTTCACGCATTGTTATGAGCTCATCAATTGTAAGCTCCTCATTGTGTGAATCCAACAGCTCTTGAACATCATCACTATCCACTTCTAAATTTATTTGTCTACCAAGTTCGACAACGTCTTTGATCACATTGCAAATTTCATCAGGCCCTGACACTAATTCCGCCTGAGTCATAGTGGAGAAAAAAAATGGACAGAGTTTTTTCCAGACGCCATTTAAAGTTTTTTGTGAAATTTCATTCCAAGATTCTCCAATGATTCTCACTGCTTCTAAAACGTTGAATTGTTTCCAAAATTCTTTAACAGAGAGCTCGTTGTTTTGTCTCATAGCTTCATGCAGATGTGCAAACGATCGTCTCGTGTAATAAGCTTTGAATGTTTTGATAACGCCCTGGTCCATCGGTTGAAGCAAGCTGGTTGTATTTGGTGGCAAAAATTCAACTTTCACACGTGGGTCGAAACTAGTTAAAGTAGCAGGAGGATGACCTGGCGCGTTGTCGATTAATAGCATCACTTTAAACGGGATTTGTTTAGACTGGCAATAACGTTCGACTTCAGGTATGAAGTGATGACCAAACCAGTCTTCAAAAAGGGAGGCCGTCACCCAAGCTTTACGATTCGACTTCCAAATCACGGGCAAACCAGCTTTAGATTTGTTTTTCAATGCTCTTGGATTTTCCGAGCGATAAACTAAGAGAGGTTTTAATTTAAAGTCACCAGCTGCATTCGCGCCAAGCATCACTGTCAATCGATCTTTGGCGGCCTTAAAACCTGGAAAAGTTTTCTCTTCACGCGCAATAAAAGTTCTTTTAGGCATCTTCTTCCAAAATAGGCCAGTTTCATCTACGTTGAATATGGTTTGGCTGGTATAGCCACCTTCATTTATCATAGCTTTGAGTTTCTCTGGATAGAGAGATGCTGCCTCTTTATCTGCACTTGCCGCCTCTCCACTTTCTGCAATGCTATGCCAGTTACAGCGACTTTTGAACCGGCTGAACCAACCGTTACTGGCTTTAAACGTTTCATCTTTAGCCATCTCCCCAGCTTCTTCTTTTAATTTCTCAAAAATTTGTTTAGCTTGAAAGCACACCGTGTTCTGATCAATAGGACAATTTTTCACACTTACTTGATTATCACACCATAATTTTAACAATGTTTCCATTTCAGCGATAATACCATGCCGTTTACGAATGATGCTTGAATTCAAAGACTGAGCATTTTTCACAGCTTCGAGAATTTTTTCTTTACTTTTCGTAATTGATCTGACTGTCGATTCCGGAAGTTCATACTTCTTCGCTAAATCACAAATTTTTATTTTTGCATCGTAGTCTTTAATAATGTTAAGTTTACACTCCAAAGATAATGTTTTTCTCTTCTTGTTTAAAGCAAAAGAGTCGGTTCTACTTCGTTTGGATGCCATAGTACTTAGTAAATATCTCAGGTCGTCGCACAACGCACAAAAAAACACAAAATCGTAACTTATGTACCTACGCGCCGATTCCGCACTACACGTATGTGCTTGTTGTAAACTGAACGAATAATAATGCGGGCGGGGGGAGTCAGAAACAAACGCCGCCGCTTGACCTTGACTGCACGGCGTTCAAACAAAAAACGAATAGACGAGAAAATTAAATCGCGTAACTCCGAATTCGCGTAAGTCGAGGTAGCGTAAGTCGGGGTATTACTGTATTGCATTTTCGTACAGCAAACTTTTATTCCCTATTTTACTCCTTAAGGGTATAAATTTCATAAATTCGCTTTACCTTTGTGCCAATTTTTATGTGTATAATCCAGAGGTCAGCAAGTTTTATATAAATTTTACTAACTTTACCCATTTGCTTGATGAATTTCAAAATTTCTTCTAATTCCTTTTGTGTAGGATTTCATTCTTCTAGACCAAATAGTAAGGAATTTTCATACAACAAACTGTTCGAGATAATTTTACTCTCTAAGAGGATGAATTTCCTAAAATCGCTTTGTGTTGCTAATTCACTCTAATGTCGTTTAAACGAACCTTTGTGCTAATATTTATGTATCTAAAGCTGGCGGCATGAACTTAAGCCCCAATTATAGATTGAAAACGTTGCGGTTCGACGCCCGACGTTACGGTCGGTGAAAAGTTCGTTTATACGCAGGATGTTTTGTTGATTATAAATTTTTCGGTTGTTGTTGCGGTTGACGTTTTACGTCCAAAAGTTAACCAACTTTTAACTTCGACAGGAACGTTGACCTTGAAACGTTAGTAATAGCCAATAGAAATGACTTTTTTAGCGCCTCTATTTAAAAAAAAATGCGGTGGCGGCGATTCGAGCGATCATAACATAACCTCACAATTGTTTCAGTTTCTTTTTGGAAAGTAGGTATGAATTTTCGAAATTTTCTTTAGAAAATGCAGGAAAAAGGTGATTTATATTAAAATTTAGTACTTTGTAGGTGTTTCTATTTTGTTATTGGTGCCTATTGTTGTGAACTGTGAAAATGGAGGTCTTGGAAGACACTAGAGTTGGTATGTATACTAAACAATGTGCAGAAAGATATAATTATAAATTTTATATATTATTTTTTATAGATATACACCTTTTTCTTTCCCTAGTAGAAGGATTTAAACACTTATACGACATCAAACATAAAGACTATAAAGATGGTCAGAAAAAAGAAAATAGCTGGAGGGAAATAGGCACCGCTATGGACATATCAGGTAACATATTTTATGTAAGAAACATACTAAATAAAAGACTAGTTACATAATAACACCAATATACTAATAATTAGTATTATAATGTATACTTATTTTTAGTTGAAGAAGCCAAACGGATATGGAAACTCCTTCGGGATACATATGTTAGGAAGAAAAAAGCTGAACCATCTGGTTCACAAGGTGGCCTTGCTAGGCCTTGGCCTTATATGCAGGCCATGCAGTTTTATGATTCGTGCAGGGTACAGAGAAGGTACACAAAATAATTATTGAAATTATTTAGTACATACCTAAATATATTTTATTATTTTTAGAACAGTCTCGAACGTAAAATTACCGATTTCTCGGCCAAGTACCTGCGCAACTGCCTCTACTAGCACCTCTACAGTATGGGACAGCATGTCCACAATTGTCAGCTCTTGTGCCGAAACTCAATCTCAGGCTCAAGACTCTCAACTTGTAGAAGAGAGTGAAAATACTATCGAAAAAGAACAAGTGGTAAAGGAGACAGAAAAGAGTAAGCTAGCACTAGAAGATGGAATAGGTACCTATTCGGAGTACAAATTTCTAACTAAATGTTGATTTAAAAAAAATAATATATCTAACAGGACACTTCCGAAAAAGAAAAGTCCAGGCAAATGGATCTGAAATAAATGAAATTGTTGGGTTGGCTAAAACAATAGTTAGCAATATGAACAGCACTGTGGGTCCTATAAATGCAGCCTTTGGGAAATTTGTCTCTATCAGGCTTGATGAGATGTCATCTGAAATTGCCAAACAAAAAAGACTGAGGATTATGGAGATTTTGGAAGATTAAGTTTAGTAACAATAAGTATAATATACAGGGTCCGGCAATAGTGCTTAGGAGCTACATCCTAGAATAAAAAACTTGAGAATTTTGTTTAAGTGCAAACCTAAAGTATATACCAGGATGTATTTCACGAAAATATTTTAACTTCTATAGGGTGGCTCAAAAAAGTGTGAGTGGACCTGGATGATTTTTTTTTAAATGGAACACCCTGTATATTATTGCATTTTTGGCTTTCTTTCAGATCACTTTACATAACCCTAAGATATGAATAAATAAATTTCGATAGTTTCAGAGATATTAAATAATCAGTCCAAAATATATATTTTTTCAGCCCTTCTTAAAAAATTATTAAAAATACAAGAACTGTTCTGAAATCAAGACTATTTTGAAATTATTTTACTTTTTATGTGGTCTGTACTTACTTTGTCAAAAACATGTAATTCATAAAGAACTGTTCCCTGAAATTCAAGATTCTTTTAGGTATTTCATTATATGTTGGTATTTTTTTGGTTATAAAATGGAACATATTGTGATGCTCAGCGATGCCAACTTTACAAATATAAAATACATTTTCAGCGTGAAGAAGCAACATTTGAGAATTAGAGGAACATTTTAGCGATCGGCAATTTTAACGGTTTCTTCGCAGATATTTGCAATTTTATATTTCATATGGCATTTTCCACATTTTTTATCAAAGCCACCCAATGATTTTTCTCTCGTATTTTACCATTGAAAGCGCCATATGAAATAATACTGCGTGTATCTGCGAAACCGTTAAGAAATTTTGAAATACTCTAAATACAAAAATGTTGTTCATTTTTTAACTCCCTTGATCTAATAAAAAATAATATATAGGTGTTCCATTTAAAAAAAACAAAGAAAAAATATTTTATATTTTAGAAAGTTTGGGGGTAAATATTGAACATCCTGTATGATTTGCATGATTACCATATTTATAGCAAAGTAAGAACAGACCATCTAAAGTAAATACCTAATATACTTTGATTTCAGAACAGTTCCTGTATTTTTAATAATTTTTTAAAAAGACTTGAAAATATATATATTTTTGATTTATTTTTTAATATCTCTGAAACTATCGAAATATATTTATTCATATCTTAGGGTTATGTAAAGTGATCTGAAAGGAAGCCAAAAATGCAATAATATACAGGGTGTTCCATTTAAAAAAAATCATCCAGGTCCACTCACACTTTTTTGAGCCATCCTATAGAAGTTTACATATTTTCGTGAAATACATCCTGGTATATACTTTAGGTTTGCACTTAAACAAAATTCTCAAGTTTTTTATTCTAGGAGCTACAGATGCCCGACGCACTATTGCCGGACCCTGTATTCTACACTCACCGGCAAAAAAAACCGGCCACTAAAAACTAGTCCCAATTTCAAAGTTGGATTTCTCGCGAACCACTCATTAGATTTTAATGATTTTTTTTTAAATTGTAAATTAATTCCTTCTTAACGGATGCTACGTCAGCAATTTTTATTCCAAATTTATTTTGAGCATATACAAGGCACAACTATAAGACGAAGTTTTTCGCCCAAACTTTGTAACACCCTGTAGGGTGCAGCAGCTGTAGTAGCTATTGCTACATCAAATCACATTGTAGCGTCATCTTTTGTGAGCATTTTGTTTTTTTAATCACGAAATTATCTCTGTTTGTATTGGAGGTACGCTGCTTTAAAACAAACGCCTCGAAAAAAGCTTTAAAATCAAATCAAACATCAGAACGTAGACGTAAACTAACTAAAACATGAAAATTAAAAAAAAAAGGTAAAGAAATTTTAAGGGACTAATATCTAGTAACCACTCTGGTGAAATTTCCCGTTTCCATATACCGATTCCAGGCATCCTGGACTGTTGTTCAAAATATACTCAGGGTATCGGAGACATAACGTTGACTTCGGCCATCCTCAATTAAAGCCACAATACGAGCAAAATTCGTTTTAAAACAGCATATCTCCAATACAAAAAGAGATAATGTGATGATTAAAAAAACAAAATGCTCACAAAAGATGAGGCTATAATGTGATTTAATTTGGCAATAGCTACTACCGCTGCTGCACCCTACAGGGTGTTACAAAGTTCGGGCAAAAAACTTCGTCTTATTGTTGTGCCCTGTATATGCTCAAAATAAATTCGGAATAAAAATTTCTGACGCAGCATCCGTTAAAAAGGAATTAATTTACAATTTAAAAGAAAAATCATCAAAATCGAATGAGCGGTTCGCGAGAAATCCGACTTTGAAATTGGGTCTAGTTTTTAGTGGCCGGTTTTTTTTGCCGGTGAGTTTACAATATTTTAAGTTTTGATGTTACCTATATTAAGTATATACAGCGTGTCCCAGTGACATTTTACTGTGAAATTAGTAATAAACTTTTTTCCTATTTGGTAAGATCACAGATAATATGTGGTAAGATGTCACTGGGACATGCTATACATACATAAGTTTTTGAGTTTGGTTTTTTTTATTCATAAGAATTTTTATTTGTGTTGTCCATACATCTAATTTAATATTTCTATAATAAGACTGAAGGCCTGTGATTTTTGTAATATACTTAGTAATATAAGAATACAGGTAGACACTGTTGGCATAGCCGTTTTTCGTTTTTAGCATGCATGTTTCTGCAGGTTAATATTTTTTGAAATGTTGTTTTTATAAAAGATAATAAATTATATATGTATAATAAATAAAACAAAAGTATGTGAAAAATGGTTTTTAATTATTTTAAGTAGATAGGTAGTTTAAAAAATTCAAAAATTTAAAAATACAAAAATCAAAAATTATCTACAGTATGTCCACGGATAGAGGTCCCAGAAGGTGAAAAGGACTAAAAATTGCAATGAAAAAATGAAATTTTTAGTCCATTTTACCTCTTGGAACATCTTTCCATGGAGATACTGTATATATTCAAAGCCAAATTAAAAACAATCCATTATCTATAAGGTAAACAAAAACTTAATATGGAAATATAAAGTTAATTTGCAGCAAAAACAGTACCTCTATTGAGTACATGGTCGTACTGCCAAGGCAATTCACCAACCTCAGAGACGAAATAGTCTGCTACACTATTTCTCAGTTGGTAGAGGTATCGTACCGCATTATTGTTGGCTAGTCTACCAACTGATCTAAGTGGAGTGGTTTCCTCTCGCCAAATGCCATCGTTCTGATCTCCATTGTCAGTGTAACCTGCTGGATTATATTTTTGGCTTTTTGATAAGCAATAGTTGTGTAAAACAACACATGCCTTGACTATGGTATCCACATTTGGAGGGTCTGCAATTATGGTGGTTTTTAAAATTCGCCATCTAGCAACCAAGATTCCGAAGGCGTTTTCAATAGTCCTACGAGCTCTGGAAAGTCTATAATTAAATATTCTTTCTCTCACAGAAAGATTGGTGCCTCCAAAGGGTCGAAATATATATTTTTTTAGGGGGAAGGCTTCATCTGCTACTAAGACATAGGGCATTTTAAAAGTGGTATTTTCCAATTCCTCTGGAGGAGGGATGTTTAAATGACCCTTTTCCAGAAGCTCCTTAAAAAGCATATTGTGAAAAATTCCACCATCACTTGCACTTCCAAGAGAACCCACATCCACCATGATAAATCTATAATTGGCATTGCAGATTGCCATCAATACCGTGCTGAAATGTTTTTTATAATTAAAAAAGGCAGAGCCTGAATTAGGTGGGGCTTGTATTGAAACATGCTTCCCATCCAGGGCTCCTAGGCAGTGAGGGAAATTCCAAACATCTTCAAAATCTTTGGCAATAGCTTTCCATTTTTCAATGCTGTGGGGTAGCTCCAAATAATCATTTTTCAAACTATCCCAAATTGCCTCGCAAGTTGTATAAATAATGTCCCGAACTGTAGTTTTTCCCATTTGGAATGACCATGCCAAACTTTGCATTGAGTCGCCGTGGGCCAGGTAGCGTAAAGTAATGCAAAGTCTTTGTTCGGCTCCAATTCCCCTCTTAATTTTTCTTTTTTTAATCTTATCATGAATTAATGCCAGCAATGCATTAAAACTATTATCAGACATTCGAGTCCACTTAAAAAATTCTTCGGGGTCCTTCTTTTTAATGTTCTTAAAATAATTAAAAGAATTTTCTCGTGATAGATTTACAGGGCGAATGCTCCACCTCCTGGGTCTCCGTTCTTTCTGATTCTGGCTGAGCTTCAGTGCCAAACAACACAATAACAGGGCTAAAACTCCAACCGATATCTCATCATCGTGTACATCCATTTTTTTTTAAAGCCAAGAAAAAAAATCTTTTTAATTTTGCTAACTAAAATACTACCTAATTATTGGTATAATAATAATTTTTAAATTCTTCAATGACATTCATTGATTGAATAAATAAGGTTAGGTTGAAAATGTTAACTAAAACGTTTTATATCTATAACTAACAACAAATTACCGTCGTTATCGTTCAACGTCAACCGCAACGTCGAACCGCACCGTTTTCAATCTATAATTGGGGCTTTACTCTAAAATATCTAAAAACGTAATATATTATCTAACTGACACACCACTGACAATGACAAATAATTTGTGTGTGTAGGTGTTTTTCAGGTATCATGTTAGTATTTCTAGTCGTTTTACACAAAAGAAATAGCCATTAAAAAGCACTATAAAATATTTCATAACAAATCTACACATATATACCTTTCATTTAAAAAAAGAATCATCAAGATTGGTAAAGCGGTTTCGGCGGGATGGATGCAACAAAAAACCCCTTTGAGCTTTTATATATGTATGGATTAATTATTTTTCTAAACATGTTTTACTTTGCAAATTTTTATAAATATTCAGACTCGCCAATATCGTACTCCACCGTGTCCAGCCTGTTTACTGCGTAGGCCGATTCCTCTTCGGCGGCGTCGTTACCCTGGCCGAAGGAAGAGTCTTGAAGACGCTCGTCCGCGCATAGGAATAAGTTGACTGCGTAGCGTATTGCGTATTAATCGATTCTGAAACTTTCTATCTCGTGTATAACATGTTACGCAAGTTTATTATTTTAATCTCGATTTTGGCCAGATAAATGTGTGAAATGCCACCTGAATATCTTCCGCCATGACAGGTTTTTACTTTTTTTGTTATGGTAAAGTGGATTTGTATAAACTTTATTCAATAACGTATATTTTTTCCTCCATTAGTGATTTTTTAGTTTTAAGCTTGAAAATTAAGTATAACATTTTAGAAAAAGAAACACTGTAATATTTAAAAGAATAAGAAGAAATTAGTCTTATTTTGAAAAGGAAAATATAGAAAAACTCTTTCTATAGAAAAAAGTCTTTATGCTGGAACCAGAATCCGGTGACATATATTACGGTCTCACCGGAAACATTACTAATTACTTCCGCTGCATAACTTGGAAGAATATCTACTTTTAATAATGAACACCCCAGAAATACGCCAGTAAAAACATTTATTATTTGAGATTAAAACTCGAGTTAAATTATAAATATTAGTTACCTATGTTGTTATAGCTTTTATAGGCCTGTTTAACGACTTAATAAGTTACCTGGCGAAAAAATCTGTGCGCGTACCTACCACTATTGTTACAGGTTAATTCGTTAAGAAATATGTTACACAAGTTAAAAACCCTAAAATTTTAATGGTATTACTTGTGCATTATTGGTCTTATAATGTAATTTGTTGGAATTATATCTTCTTAAATATAATTAGACTTTTTAACGACTTTTAAGTTACCTAGGAAAAATCTGTGCATGCACCTACCAGTATTGTTTGTGGTATTGTTACAGGTTAATTCGTGGAAACAAATGTGTTACATATTATTCGTGGTATTAGTGGTATTATATTGAATCAGCTCGGCATTAGTGGGGCATTATATAAGAAATTTTGGTATTTAATTTGTATTTTTGGCATTACTTTTGGCATTAGTATACAGACATTTGTCAGCAGTTTACTCCTTGTAGATAATCAAAAAGTTTTTGATAAAATTTGCTTTTTTATGTCAGATCATTTCTATGAAAAATTACATTAGATTTTTATTAAAGATGCTGGAGTAATTATATAAAACATTGACTAATAAAGCTTGTCCATTTTAAATAAGGGGTCACCGAAGTTCATCCTCCTTGGAGTGTTTGGGTTAAGGGGTATAATAAATTAATCGTTGTTTTATGATAAAAACCATAAAACATTTATTTGTGAGTAAAATAATGCAATGGTTGGATATCTCTCCTTTATAATTAGGTGACTAAAATTACACTAAAATAATTAGAAAAATCTTGTACTTATTTAGTAATTACGTCAATATTAATTAATTGACTTTCTAGTCTATTTTATTTTATGTACAAATATATTATTAAATTTTAAGCATTAAGTAATATAACACTTTGTGCCCTGTTATATCGTAAGAGGTTACGAAATATACTCCTGGTTACACCCTTACGAAAACAGTGTAAGGGGTGTAAATAAATGTATAATCACTGTTTTATAATAAAAACTATAAAACATTTTTTTATTTGTGAGATTAAATAAACAAAAACAATGCATTGGTTAAAATAAGTACATTCAATACATATGTATGTGTTATAACATAATATAGCCATTACTATTATACTATTATTATTAAAATAATATGTAGTGTGGCTTATATTTCTTTAACGAATTAACCTGTAACAGACATTTATATGCCCAGTATATTTTTGTTTAACAAACCAATCATTAGAAAATCCAAAACCTACCGTTATAGGAGGTATAAGATGATTAAACTTATATAATGACAAACTACTTATCGGATAACAAATTAATTACTACTGTCAGCTAGTTCACCACTGTCTAGGTAGAATATACCTAGAGTACCTACACCTACCTATGATGTAGGTAGATTAAAGCTTATTTTGACGTTACTCTCACTTCGGTGTCACAAGCTGAATTTTTCAGGCATGGAAGTACAGTACATGATATGGGGACCCTTATTCCGAAAGTAGTACAAAAATTAGACCGGGTAAAAGGGCACTATCATCAAAAATCGATATATTATCAATACCACCGTATAGAGAAAACAAATACTCTATTTTTGATCCAGTACACAATAAAATCTTCGTAGGGAGTAATTTTTATAATTATTTACAAAAAAACATTTCCATTAGCGCTTATGACCAAAAAAAACTTTAAACATGAATAATCATTTCAATCATGCGAAAATTTGGTTTAAAAATAGATTTTTTTAATATAACTTTCATTTAACGAAAAGCGAAGGCCTAAATGAAAAAAGAAACAATTTAAAAAGTTTCGCTTATGTCTTTGACAAGGTATCAAAGCAAACCCCATATTTTTGCTTTTAAACTAAAAGATATATCAATAAACAATTAGCGATGTAATGGTTTTTGCGCGCGCTGGCCGACTGCCGCCGCTGCGCCGAGATTTCCTATACCCTTGTATATCGATGGCTTAAGTGCAAAATGTCGTAAGCCCAGTCACCCACTTTTTACAGGAGCAATAAAAAACTCTTTATTTTTTTGAAAACGCGCTATAGCTCGAATATTTTAATGTTATGCTCAAGTTTAATTAAGAATATATTTTTAGAATATAAAAGAATTATAATTTTTCTCTTCTTAAAAAAGCGAGGCGTGATACGACATTTGTTTTTTTAGTTATTGGTGGAATACGACATTTTAGTAAATACGAAGGAAATACGAAAAATAAACTAATTGAAAAACTAATAAAATGTTTTATTAGAAAAATAAACACGTTTTAAATGAAAAACTTAACTCTTAAGTATGTTTAAATATTTATATAATATTATATTACTATTATGTATTTAATCTTTGTTTTTGTCGCAGAAAGGAATGTCTTCATAGAATTTCTTAACTTCGTGTGGCAATACTTGCGTCAGTTCTTGTAGGTGATTATATTTTTGCCTAGTTATTGGAACTCTCTGCTTATATAATGGTCGTTCTATTAAAGGTTTGACCGAGTTATTTGGTCTTACTGGCAGTGGGATATAATCTTCCTGACTATAGTCAATTTTATAGTAAATAATCCCATCTGGCGAATACCTCAAACACTTCAAATCGTTCACTGTGGGATCATCCTTCTTTTTACCAGGACGAATAGATTGATAGGTAAAATTTTCCTTTAGATCATATTTAATGAAATATTCATGAGTTAAGTAGTGTGCTTCAAAGGGGAAAGGATTCTTTCTTGCTTCTCTAATTATCATTGGGTATTGGCTTGGGATATGAATTTCTTTTCCTTTTAACTTTCTCTCAATCAAGGCATGAGCGGAATCTACCTCCATTTGGGTGTGACCCTTTTCCAAAAACTTTTGGAAAATGGTCACACCTTGTTCTACTGCCAGATTTAAAAGGGCGTTAGCTAGTACGGCATTCCTATTCTGATATCCACACCCGTCCGAATAAATAATTATAGTTTTTTTTTCTTCCATGCAGAATTGTTCTAGATGTTTTACAATACAGGTGGTAAAAATTGACGAGACTAGTTCACCTTCTGTTTCGTTCCAGCAATAGTTAACACAGTGATGAGTGCTTAAATTATAAATAGAAAAGTTATGGACTTGCAATTTGCTCTTAAAGTAAAGCTTACTGGCATAGAGCATTGGACAAAGCTTTACTGCCTGCACGTCCATCGTGAACACGTAACATTCTTTCCTTGTCGCGGCTTCCTTATCTCTTTTCTTCTCGTTTCTGGCTTGTTCTTTTCTTTCTATATGATTTTTGTATTGTTCTTCTGTGGTGTTTCCTACCTTGTAAGAGCAGCAAAGATCACATTGATCTTTTTTTGGTCTGTGGATTGCGATATTCATTTCACTCAATGTATCCATAAAAGTACAAATCGAAAGCGGGCAATTTTGTTGCTGTTCACAGTGTTCCTTATACAGATTGTAAACTTCAGTTTTATTTTTAAAGTTTTCCTCTAAGTATAGCTTCTTAGTGTCGACTCTACAATAATGCGATGGTAGCTTCGGTATAGAATAAATGAATTGTATCATCAGATCTTTGTTTTTCTTATTGTCCAGCTGCTTATTTGTTGGTAGTTTTTGTTTCGATTCTACAATAGAATCAGATTTTGGCATTCCGTGTGTTCTTGGACTTGTTACCCATTCTCTTACAGTTCTTTCTTTAACTCCCAAAGTATTGAGGTACATTTTTTTGCAGACTTTAAGTTTCTCGTTATTTCCTACTTGTAAATAGTAAATAAAAGTTCCCTTTCTTCTGGAGTCTCCTTGAACATAACAGCGCTCCTTTTCTTTATAAATAACAAGAGATCTTATGTAGTTTTTTTGTCATTCCAACTTAGATTCCAAAATGCATCAAAGATTTCCTTTCTGACTTCTTGATTTATTTTGCTGCAAGACCTTGCAATAGAGTTACAGTTACACACATCACCTAATTTCCTAGCTGCTCTTTTTACTCTTTTCCCTTGGTTATCTCTTACAATAGATTTATATTCTTTTCCCTCCATTCTCAATCTTTTATTAATTTGCCTTTTCCATGTCGACGTGTTACCTTTCCTTTTTCTTTTATTAATATTTTTTCTATTTTGGTGTAAATCAGTCTCATCTTCTGTACTGCTATTTCCTGAACCCTCTGGCACATAGCTGTTTTCACTTTCAAAATTAACTTCTTCATTGTAATTGGTTGACTCCTTTTCTTGTGGATTCAGGATGTTTTTTTTTTTACGACTTTCTAGAACTTTCTATACTACTATTTAAAATTATATCTACCTCCACTAGAGGCATTTCCTTGGTAGATGTCTCATTGCTGGACACATAAGCCTCATCGATAGTAATCATATTTTTCCCTTCATTTTCTCCAACCTGAAATTTGAATATTAATTTTATTTTTGCAATTTGTAATTTTATAGCGTTCGCCATTTTACCTGAGCTGGTAATAATTCTTCAAAAGCGCTTTGTTCTATTTGGATATTTTTCGACCTCATAGAAGGATCATCGATTACTATGTATTCCGATAAACTGTTGTCTATAAGATTAATATCCTCAAACACTATAGGGATGTCATCAAACGTGTGGGGACCAACAGACTCATATAGTTCTCTTTTTAAAGCAGCTCCATTTGAAATATTTCTTTCACTGTTTCCTTTACTGACCTCTGTCAGTGATGATGTAGATATTGCTAGAGCTAAAATTTTGGCAGACCTGCTAGACATTCTAAAACCATCAAATTAAAAAACTATTATTTTATGTATTACAAATTTAATAAATAGTTGTTTTTCATACAAGACAATAAAACGCTATTTTATCACTGATCGAAAAAAATAATTAATTACTTTAACAGTTTCTATAAAAAACAATGAGTAGTATTTTTTTAACTTTAGATGTTTAAAAAATGTCGTAACCCTAATATACAAGTAATTATTAGAGAAAATTAAAATGTCGTATCCCACTAGGCGTAATTTTCTTATTATGTTCTGGTAACTTTCAAAATAATTTACAAACACGTGTTAAAATCAAAGTCTAAATGAATTAACCTTCAATTATATAAAACTCTATACAATTATTACTTACATTCAAACCACTAAAAATCACTTTTTCGAACACCAACCTGCTTTATGCGCCAAACGTCATTGCTCAACTGTGGCTTACGACATTTGACAAACCAACCGAGACGTCACGATTATACGACATTTGGTTTTGGCGCGTAAAATGATATTTCCAGGCGTATGTGGCTTGCAACAATTTGTCACAATGTGCAGTTTAGGCAACCAAATATATTGGCACCATAAAGCACTTTTCAAAATTTTTGTGGGTTACGACATTTTGCAGTTAAGCCATCGATAAGTCACGAATATTTTACACCGCAAGTTATAATCCCCGCGCTAATCCTGTTGAACGTCAAAATAGAGTAGTGAAAACGATGCTTCGAACATATGTTAAACAGGAAAATCACAGGACGTGGGATGAACATCTACAGGAAATTGGTTGTGCTATCCGAACTTCGCCAAGTGAGACTACAATTGCTTATTTTTAAGCATAATTTTTTTAAAAACTTTTATTATTTTTGGTGGTCATTATGCCTTTAGTTGTGCATAGCAGATTCGCAACAGAAAATATATATCTTTTTTTCACAATGCACCTAAGGTGTATTTACACTTAGTGTTCGTTTTATCGAACGGTATGCCTCCTGAACCAAAATTTTATGAAAAAAAATTATTGTTTTTTGCAACGTTTGCACAAAACATTTTCGGCTTTTTTCTAATTTTTAACGATTTTACCTTTTTTTAGCCTATCTCTCTCGGAACTGATTGATTGCCTAGAAGAAAGTGATGTCACAGAGGGCAACATATATGTTACTCCCCCTCAAGATGGCGAAGATACTGATGTTAACAGTGATTTATCCGATGACGAACACTTCGGAAATATTTCTTATTTGGGCCCTGCAATGTTAAGAGTGGAGAGTGAGTTTGTTCCCGTACTCCCTAACGAAGAAACTGACCACTATGAGTAGGATGATGCTATTCCTCTTGCTACTTTATTTCCCAATGCAACTGAAAACTTTATTATTTATTATATATATTAATTCATTTTCAAAAATCAACCCTCAACATCAAAAAGGAGCAAATAATAATTATATAATTGGACCAATCAAGAACCCAATTTTCAAATAAATCAAGAGTGCACCAGAAAAAATCCACCCAAAGAAGTTTATGAAAAAACGACTCCATTGGAGTTTTTTTACTTGTTTTTCGATGAGGAGGTACTTACCAATATAGAACAACAAACGAATTTATACGCACAACAAAAAAAATCTAATTTGAGTAATGAGTACCCCAGTAAACGTATGTACTGGTCAAACGACAATGACGTGCCACAAATACTTTCAGAAAGTATTCGACTAAATCGGTTTGAGATGATCCTTCGGCACATACATTTAAAACAATTGATAAAGAAAATAAATTATACAAACTGCAGCCGCTCATTGACAAACTAAATGAAAATTTTAAAAAACATGGAGGCCTAGATGAACATCTGAGTATCGACGAGAGCATGATCCCTTATTACGGGAAGCACTTTGCAACGCAGTATATAAAGGGTAAGCCGATACGCTTTGGTTTCAAAAATTGGGCATTGTGTACAAGCAACGGGTATTTAGTAAGTTTTGAAATATATACCGGCAAAAAAATAGTCCCCAAAAAACACCAGAAGAGTTTGGTTTGGGAGGGAGCGTTGTGGACAGGACTGTTTTGGACAGTCAAGGGGAAAGAACAGGTAAGTAACTAAGTAACTAAAGCAAAATCTTAAAATTATATATTCAGTAGCCAGTAAGTAATTCTAATAATATTACTTATTGTTCTGTTCAGAGTACTATCTAACATGGAAAAAGGGAGAATTTAAAAAGAAAAAAAGAGGAAGAAGATAAAAGGGGAAAGTTGCCTAAAATTACCAGCTTCTTTTCTTTTAAGGAGGTGGCAACTGGAAACACTGAAACCCCGAAAACAACGTCTTCAGTGGATATGGTGCTGGATACAGATTTACAGCAGAATAAGGTAAGCGAATTAATAAGCAAAATAGTTCACTATCAGTTTAAAATATTTTGGACTTCGCGATTCTCAGCCATGGGATTTATTACCAATTTAGGCGAAATTTATTTTATTGTTTTTGAATGAAACTTTCATTCATATATAGCGAACATTTTTTTCTCGCGACACTTAAATAACTATTTATCAATTTTTGTCAAATAGTTTTTTTAGTGCATACAAGAGAATGCATTGGAATTAAATGAAGGAGTTCTTCAAATCTCTTGTGATATTTTAAAAGACAATGAAACAACTTCATATCAAGAAAATCAGATTTTTGAAATATTAAAAATGAAGAGATATCTTACAGATCGGGAAAATTATAAAGAAATTATAAAAAGCAGCTCGTTAAAGCGTTTTATTTTAACTTATGGCCCTTGTCGACCTACAGATATAAGTTTTCCCAAAACCGATGACAGGTCCTTTTCTCCTTTTTTTATAATTATAAATCAAAATATGGTATAATTGTTGAGCGTAAGTGGTTATGTCATTCAATAATGTTGGATTGCTGTTACTGTGAGCCTTGCTGGTTATTTGGGAAAGTAGAATGTAGAATGTTTAGGAGGGGAGTTAGTACCTGCGACCTTACAGATCTATTGTGCGTTCCCGTTTCTTGAATTATAACGAGTTATAACCCATCATACAATCTCAAGGCTTTAACAAAAGCCAGTATCTGAGACGGCTCCACAGCGGCCAGCTCTCCATCCTTGACATCAGCCGTACCAAAGTTCATGGCACGAATGGTCGTCGTCTCGGCGCACTCAGTGATGAGGTGTTCAGGTGTTTCCCATATTCCCACAGAATCTGCATTCGCCGTTGTTTCTCAGCTTCAGCCTACTGAGGTGTTCGTTGAGGAGACAGTGTCCTGTTAGAAACCCCGTGACAATCCGAAGATTGTTTTTACTTAAATCAAGGAAAACCTTTGATTTTTCTCGGTCGTAGCTTCTGAGGAACTTTTTCGAGTGTCTTAGACCGTTGGAGGACACCCATTCCAAGTTGCGGTTGGAGTCTTCCACATTCTTCAGTTTCGCTTTCAGTTGGTTACCGCTTGGAAAACAGAACGGTTCTGGTTCAGTTAGTTGTTCGCTCCTTTCCTAGCTAGATCATTTGCTTTTTCATTGCCTTCTATTCCTTGGTGAGCAGGCACCCAGAGTAGGAGGACTTTATTTTCTTTGCCCAACTTGTTGAGCTTCTCTAGGCATTCTTTGACCAACTTCGAATTGATGGTTACTGAGTTGATCGCGTTTAGTGCTGCATGACTATCGGATAGGATGGCAATTTCCTATTTTCGATAGTTCCTATCTAAGATAAATTGTACACATCTTTCGATAGCGTAAATTTCTGCCTGAAGGATACTGGGGTAGGTGCCCATTGGTTCGGAGTATTTGGTTTTCGGCCCAAATACTCCTATCCCTGTCCCTGCTTTGGTTTTGGAAGGCATCAGTATACCATGTTCTGATATGGTCTTTTATATGCTGAGTAAGCGTTTCTTCCTTCCAATCCTTTTTATTACTCAATACTACAGTGAGGTGTTTCTCGAAGTTGTAAATTCTTGGTATGTCATCCACTGGAAGTTGGAGAAGTGGAATTTTCTTTCTGAGGGTGTTCCAAGCCCCTCACCTAAAAATTCTCCCAGTACTGTTTCCATCAATGACCATTCTAATCATTGTCGCAATGTTCTTAATATGCCTGTTCCAAAGAAGTTTACTATCCAGGGTTATTCCTAGATATTTCACTTCCTGTGATGGCAGTATTTCCTTTCCATATAGATGGATTCTTTTCAAGTTTTTCAAACTTCGCTTTCTGGTGAATGGCACAACCGCGGTTTTATCCGAGTTGATACTCAGCCCGACAGTCCTGCACCATCTCTCAGTGATGCACCATCTCTCAGTTATTTGGGAATAGATCTAGTCAATTTTTTAAACTAACTTGGGTTAATGGTACCTCTGACTGGAAACATATTGGTACGAAAATTATTAAACATGAAGAGAGCAATGTACAGATCGACGTTTGTATAGTTTACGATTCCTGGAAAGAAAATAAAAATTTAATAAACCAAAATTTTGATGTGGCTTATAAAAACGACTATAATTTTTGGGCGACAGGTATTACGAAGGATTTTAAAAGTTATTATAACTTTATCTTTATGTAATTTACCATTCAGAGGTTCTAAAGATAGTTCTAATGATTTTAAAAAAGGTTTTTTTTATCATTGTTATCTCGATATAACAACGTTCTTCAAAAGTTATTAGAACAACCTTCTGGTACAATAAAATATTTAAATCCTACTGTGCAAAATGAATTTATTAACATGTTGGGAAAAGATGCTGAAAATAAAATTTTTGACGAAATACGTACCGCACCCTTTTTTTCTTTAATTATAGACACTACACAAGATATTTCTAAAATAGAACAGTTAAGTGTAATATTTCGGTATGTCGTTTTAAAGAAAAATGAAAATAATATTTATTAATATGTTTAAATTTATTAACATGTTGGGGAAAGATGCTGAAAATTAATTTTTTGACGAAATACGTAGCGCACCTTTCTTTTTTCTTTAATTTTAGACACTACACAATTTATTTCTAAAATAGAACAGTTAAGTGTAATATTCCGGTATGTCGTTTTAAAGAAAAATGAAAATAATGAAATAATTCAAGTTGAATGTAAGGAATCTTTTACAGGATTTTATTGCGTAGTTCATGACAGGAGTGCGGAAGGTTTAAAAAATTATATTGCAAATTTATTTGAACAAAAAAATCTAACGTTTCAACGCTGCAGAGGACAGGGATATGACGGTGCGGCTATTATGAGCGGTGCTTATAATGGACTACAAACTAAAATTATTGAATTAGAAAAAAACGCCCAATTTATCAACTGTACAGCACATAAAATAAATTTAGTCATTAACGATGCTGTCGGTAATGTTACAGAAGCAAAACAATTTTTTGAAATTGTCAGCCATGTTTATAATTTTTTTTCAGCTAGTCTTAAACGATGGGAATTAATTCAAGACGTAAAATTCCATTAAGTAAAATTTCATTAAAAATCCGACAAAATGGTCATCAAGGAACGATGCTTTAGAATCTTTAAGATTTAATTTCATAAATGTTATAAAGTCACTTACAGAAATTAAAGTAAGAATAAAGATGAACAGTCTGAAGCAACTGGACTGAAGAAAAAATTGGATAACTTTAAATTTTTAATTTTATTAGTTTTATTTTCCAAGATACTTAATTGCTTAAACCATATTTCTAAAGTACTTCAACGCAAAATAACGAATATTGCCGAGGCATCTATTTTATTTAGTCATGCTTATCTACAGTTTTGCGAGCCTCGTAACAGTTATGATGAAATTAAATCAGAGGCTTTATTTAGAGCTGTCAAAAACTTGGGGAGTCGAAACAACTTTCGTAGAAAAAAGAATTAAAGT